ATATAATTTATTAGAATTTTTATATATATATATATATATATATAATTTATTAATATAGTATAATCTCATAACAAGAAGCGAATTAAACGGGCAATGTACGTAGTACAGTTTAGATAAGTAGACTGACCACTACCTCAGGATAGAGCTTAATGATCTGATAGACCATTTCAGCAGCGCTTTGGCGACCCTCCTCCACCGAGTATTCAAGTTGACCAAGGTAGAAGGCTACACATTTCTCACGTAGTTTCGGCTCGATCGGATAGTCGAAGAGATACTTCTGATACAGGGTCCTTGCTTGATTACGTATAGCTGTTACCTCTTCCTGAATTGACATTTCTGCCACTAAATCGTGCAAACAATTGCAGCAAGCACAAAAACCGCAGCACAATTAAGGTAGGTGTAGAGAATCTACAATTTTAACCTATAAGAAATTACTGAATTTCGGTTAACGGCTAAATTACTAGGAAACTTACAACGAACCAACATCATTGAATTCTCCCCAGTTGAACGTTCAGGGTCCAGCATATTTTTTAAAATTAAAGTGAAAGTTTTTTACTTTTACCCTTTCTCATCAGACTGTGCAACTCAGGGAGATTAACGCCCTTGTCAATGACAGCGGCCAGAAGTGAAAATGCAACTCCCTGTCGCTCGACGTCACAAATATCCGTCTCAATATAGGTAAGCAGCATCTTATATTGCTCTTCGTCCAGCTCCACAGTTTCGACTTCGTTCAAAATGGTACGAACAGTCTGAAATACATTAACCACCTAGTTGTTACAACGGAAAATCTCATAGATATACACTATTTAATAAAAAGCCTGATCGAATTTTATAGTAGTAGTTATTGAAATTTCGCAGTATATTGCTTGTCTATATTTTCGAAAGTTTGGTGTAAGCGTTATTTTTTTGTTTGTTTTTCTTTATATTTAGCAGAAACAGGACAATATACAGTTATGTCTGAACTTGACCTAACCGTATCAATCAAAGTACCGTGGCATATCGTAATAAATTGGAACTAAAAAATAATACCTTGAATGCAGCGATGAGCATCTCGTAGTTGGGTCCACTCTGTTGCGTTGTTCCAAGGTACTTATGTATGATGGACATGGCCGTCGAGATAATTATGTGAAGATGCGCTTGGAAAGCTGGTAGCGGATAATGAAGGAGTTGCTGAATGACAATCATAGACAGTGTCGTTACCTTAACATACGAAGACCGTTGCAGTTGACATAGAGGAGCCACGAACGGATCTAGCATGTTTAAATGTCTAAAGGTCAGGCAAAAGGACATACGAGAAAAGGTAGATAAATATAAAACGAAGACTATAAAACGGGTCTTTGTTGAAACGACTACGTTTCCCTTACGTATAATCTTTTGCTTAGATATTAGTATTGTTGATAGTTCCTGTTTTCACTTAATAATAATTTGATATTTACAGTTAAGAATTAACGCATAATTTTACAATGACAATGACATTGTTTACAATAAATGCGAGTGTGCAGGAAGCGTCAATGAAAATTAAAAAAACACAATAATAAATATCTTATTATCAAAAAATATGTTCCATTTGTATAGTTGATACAGAAAATTAGCAAAAAAATGTTAACAGTGTATTATAATTATCTAAAATAGACTATTAACTTACTTGTTCATTTCTTGCCCGCGATTCTTACGCAAAATATCACGAAGTAATTTCAGAGCCGACTCAACGAGGACATGTACGTTTGCCTTATGCGACACCAACGTTCCAACATGGCTACGTACTGGCGCTTTTGGGACGAGAAAGACATCAGGCCTGTAAGATAAAAGAAAGAAGGTGGTAACAGTTACGACATTAGTGAGATTACTACAACTACACTTGTTCAAGACATGCAAATCTAAGAGTGGTGATCAAAGTTAAAGACACAGTCAAAGGAGCTTTTATACCGTAACAACATCTCTATGAGTTAGAGTTACGTTCCCCTTTTATTATTATTATTATTTACCTTTCATAGGGCAGTGTACTTTCTCTATTCGTGTCGTCTATATCCTCGATTCCCCGCTGGCTGTCCGTTTCACCCTTAAGCTCCTTGGCAAGGACTGGATCGGTGATTAAAAGGCGATGGGTATTTTCATTCAGTAACTTATAGCAAAAAATAAATATTGTCACTTTACTCAAGCCCTGAAAGTATCAGAATTAAGATACGAGTTAGTTTGGTCTTCCTCGAATCGATGTGAAGCACAATATATTTTTGGCCCGAGAAGCAGATATCTGTTGTGTTCTGATCAAAGACAAATGACTCGTAGTTGACCTAGTACAATATAGCAGGTACTAAAATCAAGCAGTCTCGGTTATATGTGCCATCCCATCAGTTGTTGAGTAAAACTATCAGAAACCTAGTATCCTTAATAATTTCGTTTACACAAACATAGCGCCTACCACATCACTTGAACTTATCGTATCAAAATATACTAATTACCTTATTGGTTTCAAGACCGGACGTCAGCTGTTCGAAAATCTTCTCACACTTGCTTACTATACGAGCACTATGACCTGCCAAAAGTTTCACCTCAACGGCGTCAAGCAGTCGTTGTAGTTGGTCCTCAGACACTACAGCAGCAACAATGCGGAACATGTCTAGCGATTTCGTTCGTTTTGCCTCATCAGTTTTAGCCGTTATACCCGTGATATCCTTCTCATCAGCGACCTCGCCAAACTGCTCCTCTAGACAAATTTCAAGAATATCATCAGTACATTCGTCAAGATCACCCGGCTGCATCTGGGAGCGAACTGCTTCAAGGATGGCATGTACCGTAAACGTTAAGACGTGCAGTTGAAAACCTCTGCTGAGCAATGAACGCATCTCCCTGATCACATATTTCAAATAGCTGAAATAAAAGAAAAATATTACAAAGCTAGTCTACTAACTTTGACGAGAAGTGTAAGGAAGGTTTCACTGCAGTGTTTTATGACTCGTGTGTCCCCCTAAGCCCGACATCACCTTGTTATTAATCTGAGATGTGCATTTGTTCTTACACTACCTCGTAAGAAAATTCCCGTGCTTTTTATAATAAAACACGTCACATTTTGTATTCCAGTGGCAATAAGTTATTCCATTATGTATCCCCCTGTCATCATTTACAATTTTCCCGGCTCGATTCTTAGACAGACATTAAGTTGCACTATCAACCCGTAATTTCTTATTGGATTTTGATAGTTCAGGAAATACTCAAGCTTTAAATTCCATGTAAATCTAAGGCACTTGAAATGATTGACGACAGTCTTGTAACTGCAGCCGATCGTTTTGGCTAATCCCCGAGTCGTTTGTCGGCCGTCTTCCTTCACATAGCCATTATGAAGCTCAGAAAGTCGGTCAAAGCAGAAGGAATCCTCCAGGTCTGTTGGATTAGGTTAGCAAACTACTTTTGAGTAGTTTTTCCAGCGATAATATGGCTACCATACATAAGGCAAAGGTCCCAGACTGTTTCGGTTGGTTTCAACAAAATAGAGTAAGTTGTCAACAGAATACCGTTACATCACGCTTATAGAGCAGTTAAAGTCTGTTTGTATATCAGAAAAAAAAGCAATAACATTAAAGAAGACAAGTTTTTGTTGCAAAAAAAACGATAGAACCTTTTTTTCAACTTAATGGTACTTACCAGGGTCCGAGAATATTGATTATTTTCACAAGCGCGCTGCGTGCCGTCTCCCTTACAGGCAAAAGACGTGACTTCAAAAATACAATAACTTTAAGCAACACAGACGACAGGTTTGTTCGTAGGAACGTTTTACTTGGCAGGATACTTAGTAGCTTAACGACTCCCACTGCAATCGAAACTCGAAGGACATCATTTTCTTCATTATCGTCGTCAGCGCCATCGGTCGAGTAGTAGCCCTAATAGTCGCAGGAATAGAACAAAAAAAATGAAAAAATAAATATCTACGTTTAACAGTTACTAACACCCAAAGGTACAGACTTGATTGTTCACAGTGAAACACTAAGCGTTAAGTAATTCTACCTTTGCTACAGGATATTCAAAGTTAAAAAGACAACCTATTTTGTAAGCACTAAATGTGTTTTAGCGAGTGATTATAAATAAAGTATGTTTCTATTTCATATTTCGAATACGTATTTCTTCTGAGTTTACCCTACTATTCGAATTCAATTTTACGTAAAAAAAACACATCAACTCCGATTGAAACAAGAATGTAAATCAGACAGACCTTTCTGGTGATGGCTGACTGCAATTTGCATAACAACACATCCTTGAGAGTCTGTAGAATCTCTTTGCCCACTTTGACATCGACGACGGTTACCATTCCGTCTGGTGGCAAGGTCCCACTTTCGTTAACTGTCGGTAGGCCTTCCTTGATTTCTTCGGCGGCCTCTTCTTGTTCAGTCATGTTTAGATCCACCGCAGCGTCGAGTGAAATTGGTGCGTCTGGTGGAGCTAAACGCTCTCGAAGCGGCAGGGAGCTCGTTGTCGATGTTGTTGCATTTTCTTCAAACACCGACACCAACTGACTGAGATCGAAGTGAAACGCGTCCAGCAAAGTTACAATTATCTTTACAATACATTTCTGGTTAGCTCTGACACTGCATAGTTCCTTATTGGATAATAGCAAAATGTACTTTTCAAGCAAACGCGCATATTGTCGCCAAGGTAGCTTACTAGCTAGCGAGCCCAAGTTCTGTATAGCAGCTTCGGCAATGTTCTGTTTGGCGTACTCTTCTTTCAACAGGAATGATTCAGTCAAAGGCAGGAAAACGTCCATAATACTTCGGGCAGATATATGCCTTGCAGATAAAGCGGTCGAAAGACGAATGAGTGCTCGTGCGCGTCGATGAAGCTAAAATGAGTGATAAACGCATGCATAGAATCAAATTAAATATGGTGCATTGTTTCAGCATAGCGTTCGGCTCTGCGAAGTAAACACGCTATACTAAATGTAACCGTACCGAATGTAAAACACGCGTTTAATTAGCTCGATATAAATCTTTACCAACCTGAATGTGAACGATGCATTCAAAGAAATCTTTTTCCTTTTCCGTGTCCTGGAAGCTCTTAAGTTCTTTGAACAGCGCACGCTTTCCACAGGTGTTCAGTATATGTGTAAGGATTTTGACACATTCATGGCGCGTTGTCTCCTCGTTGCTTCGAAAACCTTTTTTGATACTTCCGTATATCTCCTGTTCGACGCAAGTCTTAAAAAATACCTCATGGCCTTCACCTAGAACATCGTGGCAGAAAGTAATAAGCTTAAAAAGCGCATACGTTGCGGCGTCTCTCAGTGAAAGGTCGCTGCTTCTAAGCGATGTATAAATGCAGCTGTGTATGAGAGGAAGCGCCGTCTGCACCTCTGGTATTTTCATGGCCTCAGTCAAGGCTACGAGCTCTCGAAATCCTTTGATTCTCTGCAAATAGGCCGGTTCTTCGGTTAGTCTTGCGTCCCACGAGTTAAGTTTCCCAAGTATATCGCATACTTTGGCATCAATTCCGGACATCTTCGTACTGAGCATCTGGAACACATTCAGGAGGACGTTTCGACTATTCCTGCCTTCCACGATGGCCCACATTCTACAGAGTGACAAGTAGATATCTGCAACCGAATCGGCTGCCACTATGAGGTTCTTAATTATGCACAGTGTTTCGTATTCAAAGGTGTCATCCTCGTTTTTCTTAGCTCGACTTTTCTTATGAAGCATTGATGCAAGAAGTACCAGCATGTTGCTAGCTAATGCCGGATCGGTGTTGTACTTGCTCAACTTGAAAAGGATAAACCGATCAACTGGATGCATGGGTCTATCATACTCTTTCATCTGCTCAAAAGAACGGGATATAATAACGAATGTGTATGGCAGCGCGATACGGAACCCAGTTGACGGTTCCGTGTTATCATGCAAATCGACATCTTCTAACGAATAAATTATTCTGGCCACTGTTTCATCGGGCGCCACGTCCGATAGAAGATATTTGATGACGTCTCTAATTGACTTGACCACATCCGGATGCGCTGATGATGTACCCAGAATAGTCATCAGATCTGACATTATTGTTCGAGTTGGATCATCGCGACTCTTGAGACCAAGTAAGAACTGAAGATTTTCCTTCTGCGCAAAGCATAAAAACAATCGGAATACGCGAGCCGATGGATCACCTGGAAAGCGCACGAGCTCCTGTAGTGTACGCCAAACATAAAGCTCAAAGAATAAATGCACATCATTCAGTTTCATCGCGAACCGATCCAGCTGAGTGAAATAATGATAAACGATGTCTACGCAGAGCATACGTGCTCTTTTGATGGACTGCGAGTAAAGACGGTTGATGTCGCCGGCTCTCTGTGTAACAAGATTCGAATAGCGGAGTAGCAACAACACAGATCGAAGCAGAAGAGGTAGAAAAGTCGGCAGGACACCACTCATATGGTTCAAAACATGGCGAATATTGTTAAGGACCCTGCAAGCCACAGAACAGTTAGTATCGGAATGTTACAAAACAACGCACACTACCATTTTTCCCTCATTAAATGCTATCAGTTCATCCATATGTTTAATATTCTATTACGTTAGTCTTTACAGCGTTATTTTATTTATCACGATAATTTTGGCATTTATCGGATCATACTCAGTAAACCTACATAGGACACTCCAACCCTGCACTATCTGGTGTTTGGTGGCTCACTCACTGTCTGATGCGTCTCACAGGCACGGCGTTTTCGGGATCAAATGACACATTCTCAAGAAGGCGTTCCGTTGAGACGCCGTCGTCGTCATCTACACTTATGTTGTACCTTCGTAACGGTAGTAGAATTAGTTCGATAAAATAGATGAGATCTGACTCCCGAGAGCTAGCTAAAAAACGCAACACAGCAGCGTGCTTCGACGCTACTCGCGACTTCGAGCGATGTCCCGTTTTTTTTGTCAGCATCCTTCCAAAGAGTAAACGCATTACGTACGGCAATACCTGCAATTAATCGACCTAGACTAAAATCGTGAAAATATTTCATAGGCCTGCACAAATACCAGACTGAATGGTATAGGATACACAAACGTCACAAATTCCACCCACCAAATATCGTATTCTACCCTTAAGGTTCTTCATATTCGAAAACTATAGATCGCATTTCGTGTGTAAACTAACCTTTTTTCTTTGTTTATCGGGCAAGCGTTGCATTTGCTTAGTTTTTTCTCGACCCGCTTCATTTTTACGCTGAACAGAACTCGTGTCATTAGCCAAAAAACTTTCGTTAAGCACGTTCATCCATTCTTTGTCATCGAGAAGTTTCATCAAATTCTCTTTACAACAGTGCAACACGCTGACTCCTGTGGAAATAAAATAAAACCATATCAAGATAATTAATATTTCCTACAGGACTTTGGCAGCATTTTCTAACTACTTTACGAAGTCTATATTAGCATTACTTACCACATGCTAACAGACATTCTAAGGCCAGTTTTTGTATCGCAGCTTCCGGATACATAAGCAGATCCCCGAACCGTTCCTCAAATTCTTCACGTTTGCTTTGCTCTAATTGTTTGAGCTCTGAATGAGCCAAAGCGGTTAAAGCGGCCTTCAAACTTGCGACACATTTTCTTCCTGGCGTAATTGCTTTAGCTTCTTTAGACCTTATACCATATTTCGGCGCGTTAGTCGATTTCCTCGTATCAGTATCGTTCATTATGCTTGTGTTACCTTCAGGCCGGACATTGTCATCCTCTACATCACTATCATCAATTATAATTGCGCCATCTTCGTCCATTTTGACATCCATATCATTCTCGTTGTCACTTAGCAAGTGTTCCTTTAGGACACGCTCACTGGCGATAAACTCCGAACGTGGCCGGAACTCCTCTTCAAACAGGTTCAAAAAATATTTGTACGGTACATCACTGACTATGGCAGCGTCGGTTACCTGTTCAACCACATTCCAAAGAAGCACTCGGTGTAGATCATAATCGACATTTTCATAAGTTTCCTTGACTGTGAGAAGATCCACAAGGGTAGTATCCATGATCTCATTAGATATCGGCGGACCGATGAAGTGTTCTTGCGTTTGAATAGCTTTGGTAGTCTCGTCAAACTGACGGTTCATAACCTCCCAGAATTTCTCGTAATCCATATAAGTGGCAATAAGTTTTTTAACAGTCGACCACAATTGGCTAAAACTAATGTGGAGTTGGCCGAATAAAAAAGCCAAAGTAAATCGATGTAGTGTCGGGTCCACAGCGTTCCTAAGGACTGTCTCAAATCTCAACTTTTCCATAAGGTTGTTCCTATTCTTGAACTCTTGCACGGTTACTGCGATTCCTTCAAGAGCTAACATATAACGGCAAGCAGCAAACTTCCCTTTTGGAATCTTCTTTTCGGGCGGTTCAAACTGAGATAAAATTCGGAGCGCAAGGAATCGCACAATTGCGTAAGGAGAGGTTAGGAGCCACCAAAGTTCACTGAAGAGCTCAGTTTGAAGATGAGAGTCTTTCTCGGTGGTACTGTAGACAGCCAAATCCATCGATCTCAAGATGAATGGATCCTTGTATTTACGTAGCACCAACATCAAACACTTAGGGTCGACACTTACTTTGAGGACTACTAGACTTCGGACGCATTCCTGGATGCAAGCCAACTGAAGCAGATCCATAGTGCGTCGCTTAATCAAAACCCTCAAAGCTTTTTGAAGCTGCTCCACAACTTTGGTGGAGTCCCACAGAGATTGCAAATGACGCACTAGGCAGCACGACTCCCAGAAGCATTCCAGATGTTCAATATTTTCGACATTTTCTTTTGTCAAAGTCAACGTAGCGAACAGGTAGTCGGACAATGAAGACCGTTCGATTCTTTGTAAGCACACAAGGGGTTTCCACTCCACAAGGCTTGCTGCACAGTGAATCTTCATTCCTGCCAAAGATTCCAATTTTGAAAGAAGACGCAAGGCCCTTCTTCCTTCTTGTTGCTCGCTGTACTTCCATAATATTGGTACAACCGTCTGAAATATATACGCAGGCAAGTATACGCAAAATTTACGCTATAGCTCTGATCAACAGAACAGGATAAACAAGTCAACTTCCGATTAACCAGACTGACTCTCTACCATTTGCATAATTATACAAAGTAAAACTTTGAACAATAATCACCAAATTAAATAAACTATGTTGTATGCGTCTAAGAACCATGTGTTTGTATAAAAGATAGTAAAATAATAGTAATTAATAATAATTTAGCTAAGACAAATCAACGATTATAAAGGCTTCCATTTGATGTGCTAGTGTACCAAACGTACTAACGCCAGCTAAAGAAGGCACTTAAGATACCTCATGAAAGCAGTTGAGCTTCGCCAGGTTGTCCATAAACTTTAACAGAGCATCCTCTTCAACGATTTGCTCTGATACACTAAAAGCTTCCAGCACGTTCGATACAAAAATCTCCTTGGCACCTCTTTCCTCACAAACTGTTAGCTAAAAAAAAAACAATATAAGCAAGAATATAAGACTCTAACCCTAAACACGAATAAACAATCGATTAGAAAAAGTACTCATACATTTTAAGAACCTCAGACTCTATGCCAAAGATTTGCACTCAACTCTGCTTATCTTTCTACCTGTAAAAGCCATACAACCAACGTAACAGTACGAATTGATATATTCTTATTTAAATTTTATTATATAAGGCTTACTGCAAGAGCACTTGCATCAAGCAAATGCGGGAACGCTTCCTCCGGACATTGAGAGAACGCCTTCGCAAATGTATTGCATATATCGTCAGGATTAAGGCTCGCTAATTTGCCGTCTTTAAATGAAATGACCTCTCCATAGCACTGGCAAAGTGCTGCAAAATGTGACGGAGTTAAATCGCCCGAAGACAGGAGACATTCCTGTAATATATTTAATTGTTACGACCGAATATCAGATACAAAAATACGGCACTTACTCATTAATTTAGTTGTTTTCTTAGACATATCACCTGGGTCTAACCAATTAATGACAATTGATAAAAATACAGGCAGGAAACGTAAAGGAAACAACACTACAGTCGATGCACGTTTTTTTTTGTTTTTATTTCGCTCACCCGAAATCCACATCGATCATCCTTCGCTGTTACTGAAAAAACTCGGTAAAACAATAAGTATGCACATACACTAAATAAATGAATGATTGTAGTTCTGTACTGCGTTATTTAGACGTACAGATTTTTACCTTTAGGGTCTTCCATAAAAACTGGCTATAGTCCGGCGTAAGGTGGTTGCAAAGTAGCTCCAACATAGTCCGGATAACAATGAGTCGTGTATCTGTCGAATCACCGCTTCGATGAGCTAGCCTCTGCATGATTAGGGGGAACATCTGCTCAGCACAAGAATGAACTCGTGTCTTGACACCCTTTAACACTTCAAAGAAGAGGACACCCAAGCCCCGGGCCAAGCTTGAGTCCCGATCTGCATGACCAAAGATGATATTTAATAGATATTTTTTATCAGCTACCTTACGCAATAGAAAAGCGAAGCTTTCGGCTGCGAACGCTTTAGTATGATCCTGGTGCCGTTCCGAAAGCAGTGGTTTGTAAAGGTCGAACACGGATTCAATATCCTCTACCATAAACCTGTGCAGAAAGACCGAAAGGCAGTTTCGCCTAGATAAGCTTGTGCTCTTCGTAGTATCAGTTTAAGTACATTTATTCGTATACAAAAGTGTTTACCACGCCGCGACGAGAGATCTCTGTAAATTAGGTAAACTGTCAGGTTTTTACATATTTATATGCAACATAACCATACAAGAAAAAAAAAGATGCACACGATTTGTGGTGTGCTCAATAAGTCCAGTCGAAAAATCACAAATAATCCATGCATTCAGGAGATTAATTTCTGTAGTCTTCAGCTCTCTGCTACTCAATATCGGTGGTGTAAATGTCAACCTATTTCTTCAAAGAACGACAATGTAGTAGACAAAAAAGGTTGAAATAATCCCATAAACACGAAAAATTGACCAAAATGAGACAAGATGCTAATATAACAGTAATCACGATTTTGTGTACTTACCGCCATTGGAATTTGAAAAGATAGGCTAGACAAGTGAACACCTTTTCGAGCACATCGGCATCTCTTTGTTGAAGGTGAGTTGACGTAATAACTGTGAAAAATGTTGCAAATTCTGGATAAAATTGATCTTGAAGGTCTCTTGCCAGTGCGACCACTAGTTCTAAGTTGGCCTCGAGGGAGGGTGACTTTTCTTCTCCCAGCTGTTGTTGCAGGACTTTAAAAATCCCTGCAAGGGCAAATTTAAAAAAAGAAAGGTTAAAAATAATCCTTTGCCCGAAAATTTAGCAAATTAATTTAGGTTAGATTAAAAATAGTCAAATATTAGTTTTTGCTATTAGATACCACGTATTATATATATATATATATAAATAATAGGTAATAAAGTAGGAGTGATCCTACTCTGATCAACAGGAAACTTTTTTTACTACTTTTAACTTCAACCAATACCAAACTCATTACTTAAAATTCAAGCTGCCTGGGTAATGTTCCGGTTCCCATTCCATGTTCGAAACGGGAGACTAATAACCAGTCATTTGAAAATATTTGATATTCAATATATTCGCAGAGTGCACAAACATATAGAAAGCTTGGAGAAAATTTGATGTCTTCTAGGATATATACCTATGACCTTTTAAAGCACATATTAACAGTATATAATATATAGGCATTTATAGAAAAAAAAACACAAATTTACTTTCTAAAACATTGAATATAGTTTGTTTCTCACATAACTGACTTATTAGTCTTGTGCAGCAAATCTAATATCTAACCTTAGGAATTCTATGAATGACTAATAATAACATTACATACCATCCTTGGCATGCAGAAGGTGAGGTAATGAGTAGACGTCTGGTCCAACAAAATTTACCAGTTCAGTAAACTTTTGTGTGCAGTTTAGCTCGAGCCATTTGTCGAGAGAAGCCTTAAAGTGTGTTTCCGTAGCGCCGACAATATATTGTTGATCCCGATTAATGCGGTGAATAACATCGATACTAATGGATGCTACACGTTCCGAAAATGACTGAAAAGTGATTTTACAAAAACTTTAGTTTGGATCTCCTTTTGTAGATTCAATTTTAAATAGATTACATGATCGAACGTATGATTAAATTTAATTGCTAATTGGCCTTTTTCGCAATATAAATTGATAACTAATAGAACTTTCAGGTACTCTAACGTATGCACTCCAGCATACTCAGCTATGAATAAATATTGGTACATGCAGAGTGTCAATATGGCTAATTGAAAATAATAATTTATTAAAATTAATTATATCCATTACAAATTCTGCTGCGGATATCACTTGAACACATAAAAATATCTTTTAAGGAAGTTATCAGTTCACGTGATCGATAAGGACTATTACTCTCATCAGAACTTGTTAGACGAATAAGAGATCCGTACTTTAGACAATACGCAAGAATCAGTCACTAGGGTCATAATTAATTACTGCTGACGTATTGCGGTCAATATATTTAGCCAAGTAAATTATTTAGTTCATTAAATGGCAAAATCAAATTAAAATAATGTATACACAAACCCTGAACCGGAGTTCCTCACGACCCATGATCAGTTTTCCTTAATTTGCTGACACTCGAAAAGGCTACAGTAGACTTCGCAGGTTCAGCGCTAGGTACCCTTACGTTTAACACGGTCACAATTTCTGAACCCGGATTCTACGCTATGCGGAAATAGAATAGTCATTTGTATTCACGTTTTAGAATATATCCATTTTCTTTGGAGCAGGCTCTCCGAGGAATATCCGAACGCGAGTAACCGCGTGTAACCATCTCACGTACTCTCCAACGATAACAACGTCTCCTCTCCCGAAGATGCCTTCGAGCAGTTTGAAAGCATGGCGCCAAATTGGTCGCATACGTCTGCTTGATATTTACACCGCCCAGCTTGTCGTCAGACGTTGCAAAATCTATTAGTTTAAATATGTAATATGATGCCCCTTACTTGTTTTAGGAAAAAAAGTTGTTTATACAGACTAATTATTTGTCAATATATTTAGTAAGTGCTGCTTTTAGCACTTTTTTTTTTTTCATAAAATAGGTTGTCCCGAACCTATAATCTCTTAAAAATTCACAACAAAGGAATAATAGAAAATGACTTCACTGTCGATACTGTATGTTCCTCCTTGCAAATTAGAGACACGTATATGAATGCAATCTGAACTAATCTGGAAAATGGCTTCACTTTTGTTGATAATTTCAAAACAAACACTAATACAGATTTTTTGGAAAATGCACAAATTATGACGTTTTAAATGCAAAAGTGCTGTAATATATTTGGGTTTTGAAATCGATCTATATTTTAAGACTCAAATTCAACATCTCTATATTGCGTCCGATATACAAAAGTGATCAAGTGGTCAGTGGCATCATCGAGCACTCCATGTTTTGTCGAAATAATTGTAGCAGGATTACTTTTCTAGATTTGATTCTCATTCGGTGTTTACGCGTGCTACCATTTATTCGTTAATTTAAAATCATATTGAATAGGGTTTCAACCGGCGACTTTTCGCAAAGCGTTATAAGTATTGCTAGCGTGCGTGTTAGTAGTATCTCGCCGTCGCTTGATAGCCGTTAAATTTCTTTTCGCGGCACGAACAGCCCTGTAACATATGAGCATGAGACCTCTTGACACCATCGGAGTCACATTCTGAATATTTAGAACGTGGGAAAGTAGCTTTTAACTTATATATATTATAACGTATTAACTAAATAGTCCTTTTTCAGAATCGAAGTGTTGACACTACATAACGCGTGACGCGACATAAGTGTGTAAGGCTCTAATTTATGAAAGTTTTAAATCATAAATTAGTTACATTATACATAATAACAAATTAGTATAGTGGCATTTTCAAAGTATTTACATTTAAACACAACGAGCCAGTTTTATTAAGACATCCATATAGCAACACGAAAACCCTGAAGAATGCCCTTGTTCTGTTATCACTTGTCGTTTAAACATGAAGTGTATCTGTTTGGAAGTGTTGCGTTTGTACATACAATGACGCATTCTGATGATTACAAAAAGGACAAGGAGGTGACTACTTACTCACTAGTATAAAGAATCAGCAGTAGTAAGACTGCGTCATACTAGATCGAAACGATTTCAAAGTTGGATAGTTCTGGATATTCGGTATCTTCGAATAAACGCTGCCGTATTTTGCCCGGTGGCATGCGGTGACAGCGTAAGCATTGAGGTGCCCCTTATGCCAATCTCGAATGCCAATTAAACTCCCGTATTTGAAGGAAGGCGTATTAGCGTATTTACGAAGGAGCGTTGAACTATACTATTAAAAGCGGTTGTAGCTCTATTTCGTATTCGCATGGCAGCAATGGAATAGGTAAACAGCAAAAAAGCTTTTTCGTTAGGCGTCGCTAGACGACCACGAACATATTGAGCATGCAAGTGCTCAAATTATTACTCTGTGTATTACGTTTTACGGAACAGAAAAATTCATTGTGGTCTTAACATGGCCATATTTTAGGGGAAGTGTAAACTGTTTTAATGATTTATCAATGTAGCTAATTATACAGCTGAACAAACACACGGGCACACATTGGACGGAAGTCTGCTCAGAAAAGCGACCGCTAAAATAAGGTAAAGCTTATATTGCCTCTACCATGGTGCACAATGTACCTTCACCTGAATATCGTCTCTATGTGAATACACTAAATTATAAACCTGTACGTTCAACCGCATGAACAAGCTTCGGCCTTCAAGTAGGAATAAACCTTACACAATTGGCGTAATAATAAAATACAGTATTTTCTATAATTGTGACGACCTTTCTTTCTATTCAGCCGTAATAGCTCTTCTACAACTTTCCGTAAACAACGGCTAAATGGTAAACTCATATTTTAGCATCCTTTGGACCTAGATTTGGTATTTGTTCTCGTAAAAAACGATTAAATTTCTGAAAAGAGCACATCTGACACATAACATGGACCTATAGCTAGTGATTCTGTCAAACTCAGCGCCAAGTCCTACGTCCGGCTAGGGATCTACTTATTAAAAATAGTTCTGCTAATATCAGCAATGACAATAATAGACGAACTTTTATTTAGGGAAAAAAATACGCGCGTCCCACAAAAGCTTATTACTATTCATATTCGAGCACTAGTAAAAGAATAGTGTCCACGCTAGACTTTATTTATAATTCATCTAATTATCTATAATATCACCTAAGTTCAGCTCTACGCCCTAGTGAGCACTGAAAAACTTGTATTATAGCAGTTCTCTAATATAAGTCTATTTTTTTAATTCATGATTTCTTCAACTAGCATCGATTGGTGCTTTATCAAAAAATAGTGCTCTCAGCATGAGTTTGCATTTGTATTATATTTAACATTGAAATTTAGGTGATAGTAGTAATAACAATAATACATTCACTATGTAGTACTCTGCAGAAGAGCTAAATTAAACTGGTGCTTCCTATTGTGATTGAGCTAATATTCAATGATTTGTGATATTAAGTTGACACAAATCCGACCATTTTATTATTACAGTTACTTTTCACAAAACAAATACTATTTTAAATTACCGATTAAAACAATACACGTACATTATATATGTATATTAACGGTCACAGAATCTCGTTTACATCTTTTGAATGCTAGCCGACGTTTAACAGGCATCCAGCATACACTTTACTCAAGACATTTAGAGCTTGATACTTACACTTGTTTAGCTGCCTATTTATAGGCTCTGGACTGACATTTGAAATATTTGCGTAAATTTCCTATCAGATGTAAGACTTAACAAACGATTACAAAAAAAAAAAACAAATTTGTAAATGCTAAGTGAATATGCGTCGATACGTTTACAAAATATAAGGCAATTTCACTTCTTTAGAAGAATCCAAGTTGTTAACAAATAATGACAAATCTTTAAAGGCAGCCTGTCAATATCTAGGCCTTTTTTTTTAAGGGTCAAATTTTCAATTCGAACTAAACAAATCTCAGAATATAACAAACTTGATTTAACAAATTATTGGGGTCGTTGCTTCACACATACGTAATCACAGATTGTACGTAAAAAAGATGTTTCCGCCCGGGATCGAACCGAGGACCTTGCGCGTGTGAGGCGCACGTGATAACCACTACACCACGGAAACAACCGATAGGTGCTGCCTTCGGCGAACACATAAACGTACATTGCGACAGGTTCCAAGAAAGTGGGTTTGTGGGAATATGAAAATATCCGTTTGCTATTTAGTACCAATTATCGTAGCATTTTCCATTCCAAATAATTACCAAACATATTGCCATTCCAGCAGTTCTCTGGCATAATGTATCTCGTTGTTTGCTACAATGACTCAGGGGCAAGTGTCCGCGCCGAGAATCCCCTGAAATACAGAGAGACAGCTTTCTCGCTTCGAATATGCGAATGCTAGCAGCAGATGGCAGTTACCATTGATGTTGTCAACCAGATGTCACTTTGGCGAGTCGGTTCTTAGTGCTAATCATTTGTGGTATCGTTTAGTAATCACTGAATGATAATACCATTAATTATCAATATGGCTACTAAAGAATATTGTGGTCTTGTATGCAATTGAAAGATAGATCAAATTCAGTCGGTTATAAACCACGTACCGAGAAGCTCAAGCGGGCTGACAATGCACTATAAACACAACGATGCTCCCACGGTAGTATTACGCTAAAAAAGGACGAGTGATCATCGGTTAGCTGGATGTTTACAGGGCAACCTAGGTACTGTATATGATTTTGATTAGGCAATTCGCCGAGCTTCTTTGATATATAAAAGAAGGCAATAGCTTCTATTAAAAACGTCGTTTTTAAATTTTTCAAGCGAAGCCGAGATTCGGATCTGTTCACCCACGCCCAGATAGCTCAGTCGGTAGAGCGTTAGGCTTTTAACCTAACGGTCCAGGGTTCGAGCCCCTGTCTGGGCGCGTTTTTTATAATTCCTTTATTATGCTAATCAAAGAACACTGCTATGCTTATCGCTGTTAGTCGCAGGTTAGCTGTATTTTACTGCCAACATGCTTCTCAGGCGTGTAATTTTAAATATGACAAAAAAAGCGTGATGTTTCTTTTGTTTGTAATTTTTTGACAACTTGATAAAACCAATAGACCTCGTCAGGTGGAAAATATCAGCACAAAACGGGCCGATCATGATGCCAGAGGTGTTCAATGTAAGCATATATTTTCCTGCAGCTCGTTTTGAGATTCGATCGAGCCCATAGCTTAGCCATCCCTCACAATGGCTTCCTCCCTCTCGATTGCGTACAGTCCAACGTCATATCAGCCGCACTCGTGATAGTAGCGGCATTAGCAACCCAGTCTTCAACGGCATTGTTTGGTCTCAGAGGAACATTGCCTCTACCCCATCAGATTTTCTCGACTTAGCGATTGTGTTATGCCTACCAGGGCGACATAGCTTAAGGGGCAGAATCGCATGCCAGTAACAACTTTAGTGGGCGTTTTCGTGCCTTCGTTCAACGACATACCGCATGCAATAACAGGTCGGTTTCATAGTGAAGAGCCCAAGTTGCCTACTAGAGCACGCGGTGGGTTAACAATAGGATTTTCGTATTTGGTACTGATGAGTTCGCATTGTTCAGCTGGGAAGGCAACATCTGACCTGTTGGTCAAAAAAAGCTTATTTGTTGTAAGACCTGGGGAGGTCGGTAGCTGACTCACTGAACCAAAGTTTTCTGTATTAAGTGGGGACGGTTAAAGTCATTGATCTTGGCGCGTCGCTGTTGCCGCCTCCACGCCCTCCTTAAACTCGCGATCGAGATCTTCCGTCGAACGATTCAGTGACCTCTTCCATATACATTTTTCTTTTTCTTTGCTTGTGTCGTCTTGATTCGTAAGCTTCGCAGCTGCAGTAAAACAGCGGGAGACATCCGAGAAGTGGGGCAGCGAGACGAATCAACGGAAAGAGCATCCTGCACAGGACGGAATAACTTGAGTCAGTGCTTCATCCGAGTGATCATCGCTGTCAAGATTAGAAGGCTATTAGCCTTTGGCGGACAAAAGATGGGTATCACTTTCCCTGAAAGTGTTTATGCTATCCTATCTATAGGGCTTCTTAACTTCAAAAAACACGTATTCCTGTATTATCGTGCATACATGAAATCGAACTTTACGACGTGCTGTCTACGCGTACACTTCATACTACATACAGACAGGGGGGCTAATTGCGGCGATGGGCTTAGTTAGTATAACTTGTCGGCAAAAATCAGAGTCATCGCCTAAATTGCTTCGATCTAATTAATGCTATAAATTGCGGAAACACAATTCGACCAGCTAAATTGTGGCGGCAAGCAATGGAAGCAACAAGATTTGAGTATTGTCTTAAATCACAAGAGAACTAATTTAGACTGAAGGAAGAGAACATGTTTAGAAATACAGGTGCCCATTTCGTAAGCAGTACTCACGCGTACTCAATACAAAACACTATTTACTTGAATACCAAACTTTTTTTTCGTGTTTAGTTGACGGGTATTGATTAACTCACTTGATAAAAGCGTATTGTCGAGGTTTAATATTTATCAAGCAATGTCCAATGTCGAAAACGCGACCAACCTTATATTTTAAATTTCAAGCATGCCTTTGTTAATTTTCATCTGTATATTTTACTGTCAAGAAGCAGAAAATTTACATTTCTGGCAAATGGTCTTTTGTCTGTTTCTTTTGCAACACTTGGATATATCAAATGCAAAGCACAACGAACTAGTGGAGTAAAAGAAGCTCATGTAACGCAGGATATTCCTTCTGTGAATGCTTAGGTAACGTTCAAAATGTTTGACTTTTCAAAATGGACATTATTTGAGGGTATAACGTGCCTTTCGCTCGGGTCAGCCTAAGTTCACGAAAGGAACAAACATAAAAATAGAATAGGGCAAATCATATTTATTTTTTAAAATAGAAAAAAAAAACTACACAAAAGACGCAAAGGGGTCTCTTAGCATATGACCTACAGGCATTTGATTCATGGTCGAAAAAAATATTTTATTTTCGGTTGTTATAGCTCAAACGGCAAAAAACAAATATATATATATATATAACCTTTAGTTATGGGCACGCACACGGGTAATGTATGTAATAGTATACTGAGGAGCAGGCGGTGTCGTACGATGTCGATGTGCCGAAGGGTCGAAACATTTGTTATCAGCATTTGAACTGCCCGGCTGGCAATATGTTACTTCTAAATGTACCTGAGTGTGTAGACCAAAGTGAGTCTTTATCTGGCCTACTCAAAAGGTTCACTCCTACCGAACATAATAACGAAGAACAGAAGGCGCAAGTGTTGATTGCATCTCCCTTTACCTTTGCCGACGCCCTTGTCATTTCTGCAAGCACAGCTACGACGTGATCTGTATGAATATCCGAAGGATCCTTAACTCTTCGAAGGAACACAGTGTTCTGGTCACCGTTTTTCGGACGACCGAAGAGGCTTTTCAAAAGTCATCTCAATCCTATTCAATTTCGGTTGCAAGCACATTACAATGTATCGTCAGGAAACGCCTCCGAATTGTTCAACACAACGACACCGGATGCGGCGGCAGCTTTCAGCAAACCGCGAGTTCGATTTACAGTCCGTTTATGTGTTAGGCAAGCGATATGTATGGCCGAGTGTGTGGATCTAGGACATAGAGCTAAACGAACAGCATTGAAGCCGGTCGCCTGACGGGCAGTAGTACCCATGTAGGTGAGTTAAACTAGGAGCAATGTCTGTGTAGGAACGATGTCCTATGCGTTAACGCGAGAGCACTACTTGACTCTCGGATTGCTGGCAGTGGCATGAAGTAATCAAAGCTATCTTTGATGCTATCGGCACCCCGTCGTAACAGAATACAGCTCTAATGAACCCGCGCCCCCTAAGCGAAATTCTTTCGGCGGAACGATCACTACTCCTCCGTTTAATAAGAGGTCTGCCAATGGCAGTGCCTATTGGCCGAAGCTACTTTTTACCATGTCAAATACAAGAAACGCATTCATTCACAGTCGTTGTTTGTGAGGTAGTGTTATTATGGAGCGCGCCATTCGAGTTTTAGACTCATACGATCGGTAGAATCAGATAGCATCCAGGGGATATTTACTGCTCATTTTTTCAATATGCTCCGTACTATTAGCGGCCGGCTCTATAGAACCACGTCCTGTTAGCAATTAAGCTACGACAGAAACATATATGTATGTATATATATA